GTGGCAGTAATGACAGAGCATGCGCTGTTACGCAAAAACCGCGATAGAGTGAAGCCGCGGAAGTCGAAGCGCGAAGTGGCGAGGGTTCACTGTAAACCTGGTCGTGATCTGCAACTAAAGGGAGGGCGTGCTCACTATAACCCTAATATCCTATTTCTCTTCTGAATTGATGCTTAAATTCGAAACCGCTTTGAACTGTGAGCCCTAACTGCATGTTGAGTTCAAGCCTCCATATGCGTTCTTTCTGACCATTAGTTAGTAGATTGTAGCTCCCCTGAATAGCGGGTTATGACTGTACCATCGGCAGTTGGAACCCACTAGGTGCTCTGTGAGAAAAAGAGGAAGCTTTCTGCTCTGATTAAGCCTCAGAAACCCACAGGGGCACGTCTACTCTGCCCTACAGGGTTGCTATGAGTCATGTCGTAGAAGACAAGAGATCTCAAATATTATTTATGGAAAATATTAAGTCCTAATGAGGACAAAGATACAAGCCTCTGATGAGGGAGGCCATCAGCAGGAGGTCGTAATATCTTCCAAAGTTTACAGAGAACTGGCAGCTTAAATAGGGCATGGAAGGCAAACGAAACTGTCACAGAACCATGATGTGCCGCAAATCAAACATCACAGCTCTAGGTGGGGCTACAGAAGTGGGAATGGGACCATGTTGGGATACATACATTATGGTAAACAGAAGAGGTCATAGGATTGTTTCTGGAGCTCTCTGACTGGTAATTACATCATTTCATGCCAACTTGAAGTAGATAAAAGTTTAAGTTTAGTCTGTCAATCAGGTCGTAGCCTGATGGTGACTCCTTGTGAGTGTGAGCTTTTCATAAGGAGGGCCCTGGGAACCTTCCCCACTCTCTCTGCATGAGCCCTGTGATGCAGCCACCCTCATTGGATGCACAGGACTTTGCACCCACTGGCCTGTGATACCCCTGTATTTTGCATCATTGCATATGGCTGTGTGAGTCCGAAGAGGGACTTATGGACTAGTATTGGACTTATGGACTTGAGGTGGACTGGGCTGGGAGGTTTTCCTGATATATAATTTTGTCTAGCTATTAAACTCTTTCTTACACATGAGTCACTGGATTTGTTTCTCTAGTCAAACCAGCAGTCAAAAGATGGCCTATGATCCATGCAGATGCCAGCACTCCATTAAAGGAGCACCCTTACCAAGGGCTAACCTGCCCCTCCCTGGACTGGTAAGAAAGTGGTAGGACTCCACTTTCTAATTCATTCTGCCTGAGGGCAAGACTATTCATTTTACCAGTTAAGGGCCAGTAGGAATTCAACAGAACCTTAATCTACTGGGAGGCTCAGAATGGAATTCGGAAGTTTCAGTGCAACCATAGTCATTGCATACCTACTGTGGTGCTCAGATTAAGCTCTAATACAGTCCAATCAACTCTATGGCAGTGAGTTTTGTTTTGCTTCTTTAAGACAGTCCAGGAGGGGCACTGGTAGCTTAGTAGGTAAAATCACCAGAAAGTGGTCTGTTCAAACCCACCAACTGCTCAGGGGAAGAAAACAGTTTGTCAGTGTGTTAGTCTGGGTTGACTAGAGAAACAAATCCAGAGACACTCATGTGTGTAAGAAAGAGCTTCATATCAAAGAGCTTTTGTTTATTGAGGAAACATCCCAGCCCAGTCCAGATCAAGTCCATAATTCTGATATTAGCCCATATGTCTGATACCAGTCTATTAATTCCTCTTCAGACTCATATAACACATGCAATGATGCCGAAAGCAGGAAGATCACAGGCCTGTGGATTCCATGATGCTGGACATATCTCCAGGGCTCTGGCTGCCATCAGCTTGGCTCTATATGGCTTGTCAACAGGAACGTGTAGCAGAGAGAGGGAGAGTGGCCCACCCCTTCTAATAACAGAATCAAGAGAGAGAGTTCCAGAATCCTCATGAGACAGCCACTCCCACAAGGAGGGATTGATAAGGCTGTGACTGGATTGACAGGCTAGACTTCACCTCTTCATTTTTTTATCAAGAAATTGTGTAACTAGCACAGTCAGCTTCTGTATAGCCTTGGATTCCTAGGGATAGATGGTCAACAAAACACACACAGCTGCATTCCTGTACAACAAACGGAAGAACATTTGTTGTAAAAGAAGGACCAAATGGTCTGCCATCTAAGAGCCAAGTCAATGGAAATCTCCATATTCGGGAGACTGTCGGAGCGAGCAAACAGAGGAGAGGAGACAGCACCCTCAATCATGGGGCACCCAGCGGACCCGACCCAGTTCTTGGCACACACTCCAAACTTTCAGAACCAGCTGACACACTCATAAGGTACACTGCACAATCCCCTAGCACCCAGAACTCACCCTCAGACAGGGCTGGGCGGAGCAAGCCAGCATCACTCCTCATCTGGGCATACCCAAGAGGTCCAGAACCTCACTGAGGTAGGCATGCATCACTCAGCCCCTTGTGCAATGTTAAGGCAATCAGATCCCACAAAGCAGAGAGTTGTTGTAGTTGTTGTTAGGTGGCACTGAGCCAGTTACAACCTATAGCGACCCTATGCCCAACCGAACAAACACTGCAGGGTCCTGCACCATCCTCAACTGTTTCTATGCCTGAGTCCATAGATGCAGCACTGTATCAATCCATCTCATTGGATTGCCCCTTTTTCACTGCCCCTCCACTTTGCCAAACATGAAGTCCTTCTCCAGAGACTGGTCTCTCCCGACAATATGTCCAAAGTATTTAAGGTGAAGTCTCGCCACCATTGCCTCTAAAGAGCACTCTGGCTATACTTTTTCCAAGACAGATTTGTTTGTCCTTTGTGAAGTCCATAGACTTGTCAATATTCTTCTCCAGAACCACAATAGAAACGCATCAGTTCTTTGGTCTTCTTTATTCAATGTCAAACTTTCACATGCATATAAAGCAACTGAAAATACGATGGCTTGGATCAGAAGCACTTAGTCCTTAAAGTAACAGCCTTTCTTTTCAATACTCTTAAAAGGTCTTCTGCAGCAGATTTACTTAATGCAGCCCATCTGTGTTAGTCTGGGTAAACTAGCAAAACAAATCCACATAAACTCATGTATAAGAGAGAGTTTTATATAAAGGGTAAGTGTACATTAGGAAAGTATCCCAACTCAGTGCTGTCCAAGCCCATAAGTCCGACACCAATCTACAAAGTCCTTCTCAATCTCACAAAACACATGCAGTGATGCCAACTGCAGAAGGAAAACTGAATCAGTGAATGTGTAAGCATCTCAGCGCTGGCAGGGGTCTCCACAGGGCTGCTCCAACACCCAGGGCTGCATCAGAATAGGTCCATGTGGCTTCTCAGGGATGTCTTACAGGAAGTGAGCCTTGCCAGTTGAAGCAGAGAACTAGCTAAGGCAGCTGCACCCTGGTCTGACCATCAGAAAGCAAGAGACCTGAGAACTTGAAAGGCAAGGCTCACCAAGCCATTTATCTCTCCGCCCTTCAGTTAATCACACATGTGTTTATTGGCCAGGTTGACACAATAAACCTTAACTATCTCACCATTTTTGGATCTCTTGACTACTCTGTCCATGAACATAGATTGTGTATCCAAGCAAGACAACATCCTTGACAACTTCACACTTTTCTCCGTTTATCATGATGTTACAAAATTGGTCACGTTGTGAGGATTTGGGTCTTCTTGACTTTGAGTTGTAATTCATACTGAAGGCTGTCATCCTTGCTCTTCATCATCAAGTGCTTCAAGTCCTCCTTACTTTGAACAAATAGTATAGTGTCTGAGCATAGCCAAAATAGAAAGGACCTTAGGACCCGACCACCACCACCACACACACACATAGCCAAGTCAGGCAGGCCAGTTACCCCTGCATGTGTTGCCAAGGTAGGAAGGTCCCAGGAGGACCAGA